CTACTTAAACATTATTTGAAGAGGTCAGTTGAGAAATACTCAGTAGATTCTTGTTAATCTTAGACATATGTAGCACTCTGTGTAGTGCTAATTTTTGGCTACTGGGTGCATCGATGTTTGCCTTATCAATATGTTTGATAGACATTGTCTCACCGTTTCCAATCATCAGGTTGTCCTTTCCTGCATACACTTGTTTCGATTGTAGGATGTTGGGGTCACCTGTAACATGGTTATTGGCATCACTGTCGACATACCACATTGGGTCTTCAAGGTTGTTTTCGATGGAGGCCGAAAAGGCAGATCTTTGTTAGACCTTTATTGAGCTCTCTGGAATAGCTCCCATGTAGTTATTATCATTTTGATAGTAGTAATGAGCAGCAGTGTGCCCAATTTTGCTACACACTTGACAATTTGGTCTGGAGTTACCGCTGCTTCTTCCTCCTCTTCTGGTGTTGTAGCGACCACCCCTGTTTAGATTGTTGTTCTTTCCTCCTCCTCTGTTTGTCGTTTGAGAAGGAGGATCTTGATAGTTCTTATTGCTTCTGATACTGGAAAAGTTTGCTAAGGGTTGTTGGAGGCTAAGATTAGCCGCGGTAGTGTTGAATTGTTCTAGTCGCCTTTCATAGTTCAGCAGTCGTGATTGAAGCTCCACCCAGCTTATGCTTTCTTTCTCTGTGATTTAGAATACCAGTGGTTATATTCAGGGGAGTCTAAACCGGCGAGAATTTGAGAGACGAGGTCTTCGAGTGTTACAGGATGACCTGTCAGTGCAAGGTTATCTACGATGCCTTTGATTGTTTTTAGGTATTCTTCAATTTTTAAGCTTTTTTTCTGCATTTTGAAGAATTTTCTCTTGTAATAAATTACGTTTGCTCTTATTTTTACTGCGAATAGGTCTCGGATGGCATCCCAAAAGAGTTTTGATGTTGAGTATCCCATCAATTCGGAGGCCACGCTTGTTTCAATGAAGCTGTAAAGCCAACATCTAATTTTGTGCAAACCAGTTTTCGAATTTTGGGTTCACAGTTGTTTCTACTTCGGTGCTTCCTTCCACGATTTTTTCTGTATATTCAGGTGTGCTAGGTTTGGCTCCAGTGATGACCACTAGTTTATTTCCTCTGATGATTGGGAGGACCATATTTTTCCAAAGAATGAAGTTTTCGCGGTTAAGTTTTAGTTTACAAACTGAACTAATTGAGCTGCTGGGCAGGGTTTGAATTCTTTGAGGTGGTGGATTGAAGGTGAAAGAGTTGTTATTTTCTCCTGCACTGGCTTTGATACCAAGTTAAGAAATGAAGCTTTTAGTTTCTTAGTGAAGGAAAGCTGGACAATTCATAGCTTGTGTTTTTCATATTTAATCATCAAGAGAGTTACATAATTTATAGAGCTTAGCAGCTCTTCTACAGGAGTCCAAAACATACATACACACCACAAGAAAACAAGGAACAAATTGCAGAGGATCAAAATGGAAAACACAGAGAATTAAGGAAGGACATCAGGGAATGACAGAAAGGAACGATTGCGTTCCAGTTGTCGGCCATGCGCGCTTTGTCTGGAAGCTGATGGTTGAGTTGGATTGCTGACTTGGACAAGTTTCCACACTTGTCATCTTCAGCTTGCTGATGAAGAGTAGTCTTGATCAGTTTGAGTCTTCTTGACAGACATATGGTCTCTGGGTTGTGTTATAATTGAAATGGTAAGTGAGGAGCCATGCTGGCCGCATAAGACAGTGAAGGAGATTTGGGAGCAGCTTGTTTTGCGGAATGAAACGCCAAGAATTACGAGAGAAGTTAAGAAGAAAGGGAAAGGAGTTCTTGAGGAAGTGTTTTGCACTGAAGCCGCAAGCTAGGTGGAGTGCTGATATGCTCCCGAAGAACCCTTTTATAGAACATTATTAGGATGTCAGAACTGAAAGTTGGAGAAAAGCAAATGGGTAATTTGTTATTGTTTTAACAAGTCTTGTTTGAAGCAGACTAAGAAAAGAAATACTCTGAAAAAAAGTAATTTGCAATATGAGCTGAACTGGGTCAAGCATCTGAATCTCATAATTTTGTTGCTCAAAAGGTATGAAATGAAAGAACATATGTCCGTTTTGATTATCATACAATTTTATGGTGCTTTATCTTCCTTTTAAACTCTACTAGTTTCAATATTTTAGTTTAATTGTTAAACTGAGATTCAAACTTTTTGATTCATATTGTTTTTTTACTTTAATATTAAATTTTTTATTTATACTTGTAATATTGTATTAGATTTAAATTTATTATGTAAATGTTGTTTTTTTTGTTTAATAAATAATGTTTATATTCATTAATACATAATATCCGAATGATATTGCATACGAGAATACAAAATATTACAACACAAAGGGACGTATCAAATATTAAACTAAATAGTGGTTGGTTTATACAATCATGTTTATTTACTTTTTAATAAATATTATCTTATTAAGTTATTTATTAAAATAAATAAAATTTTAAATACATAATCATTATATAATAGTTATATTATTAAAAATTAATAACACGATATCCATAATAATTCATGTATAAAGAATATAAATAAAATTTATCCATACAATCTAAATTAAGAGGTAAAAAATCAAAAATATTGTTGGAAAATGAATTTTTTTTAAAAAAAAAAATCAGATAGAATTAGAATTTGAATGTAGAGAAAAACTTAAACTGCAATAATTATAAAATTAAAAGATTAAGAATATATTTTTTTTTACATTAGTCAATTACTCTATTTATAATATACCAAACTCAAACATATTCTAATTCTTGGTCGACAACAAATTGAGCATTTGTTTGTTTTTCTTGTGTGGTAAACTAATAAAAGTATAAGGGTCCAAGATGGATGTTAATAAAATATGTAGTTAAATTGTTTATCTGTATTTAGTGTTACTTGGGAATTGTTATATGTAAGTTTCTTTATGAAGTTTTTTTATTTTAAACATTGAATGATATTTTTATTTTTAGTATTGTATTAATGTTAATTACAAATAAATAATAAAATTTTAGATATTATTTACTCAAAATTTAAAATACAAATAAATAAAAATATAATCTTATGAATTATACAGATATTTGCTCAAAATTTTAAGATATAAAAAAGTGAAACTAATGCGACAATTATAATTTTACAGACAAAATTTTTAATATGATATATTAAAATTAGTACGATTAGTAATTCAAAATTTTGAAATATATATAAAATAGTGTATAATTTTGATTTAACTATAAATCATAAACTATAATTTTTAAATATAAAATAATTTTATTAACATTTATTTATTTAAAAATTCTGATGATAACAGTAAAAAATTTGATTCTTAATTAACTATTATAAATATTTAACAATATCCTAAAAACCATCCATTTTTACAATAAATATCCGTTTGAATTATTAAGTTATAAGATTATGAATTATTAAGTTATAAGATTAAATTTAATTTAAGTACAAGGACTTAAATTAAATTTGTCCCAAGCCCAGTCAAAAGCAAGAACAAGTTTTGCAGATAAATATTAATCACGTGTGGCTATTTTATTTTACTTTTAATTACTACTACTATTTATGATAATTAATTCATAAAAAGTAAAATTTAGGATTACATACGGAGTTGAAATTTGGTTGATAAGATAAGAAGATTGTTGTATGGAGTTGGAAATGAAATGGAGGATAAAATATCCAGGAGGGAGAGAGAGGTTGTCCCTCTGCCAAAAATCCTAATTTTCCTCTCAGCCATTCTTTCCAGCTCTGCTGAAACATTCAAGCACGAAGACCAGTTGATTCATTACATTTAATCCAAATCCATTCATAATATTTTTAACGATTTCGATTCAATCAATTTTATCTACTTACCCTAATTAGAAGTTCTCTACACACCCTCTAAATTTAACTTTCTCTACCTCACTCTATAAATAATTTAACTCTTTCTATTCCAATTCCCATTCTAACATCCATGCAATTCACTCATCTCTTTTCTCTCACACCAGGTGATTTCCTCTCCCTTTCTCTCTTTTAAATTAAAAGATTGAAAGCTACACCATTTTGTAACTTTTTTTGATGTTGCAGTCACCCATTTTTAATTATTTGCTACTCCCTCTTTTAAATTAGAGATTCCCAAAAAGGTATTGAGAAATTTTGGACCAAAAAATGAGCTTGTCCTGTTATAATTATTTCATGCAATATTCCAATAGTTATATGATTAGTAAAAAGTCCAAATGATGAATTTTGTGTTTTAGCAATTTTTGGAAGAATTTCTCTAAAAAAAAATCAAAGTGGGTATTTGTAGTCATTGAAGAATCTTTAAAATTAATACGGGTTGTGTGATTGCTTTATATAAAGAAAAAAAAGGAAAGTATGCACGAGAAGATTGAGATAGACTTTTTAACTTGAAAAGGATAAGCCAGTAAGAAAACTAGGTTCACCAATGTAGATAAGATTGATTTGTTTTGGTACTATGAAAAGTTCTTCGCTTTCCATCATCAAATAAATAAAGTTCGTATCTTTCTTCTTATCCCAATTCACACTGGTATTATTAATAAGTGGGTTTTCAATAAGTTTCTTTAGCTACAGATTAGGTTTGAGAATTTCACGTAATGAGGATTCCTTCCTCTAAACCAGATCATCTAAATTATATGTATTTGTTAGGTACGCTTCATCTACATGACCAAACAACTCTACACAATTACTTCTCTCTTCTTTCTTTTATTTTTTATTTTTTATTTTTTATTGAAAAGAAAACTAGGTTGAATTTCATGGCAATTATGGGTTTGCATATTGCTGTCGACAGAGTGTACATACATATATAACAGATAATTATTTACGGTAGGATCTGATTTGTTTTCCTTGCGTGAAAGACGAAATCAATACGAGTTTATCTTCAACTACAAAACATAATTGATAAGATATCATTTATATTATAATGGATAAAAAAGGGAAATTCATAAAAATAATATATGATAATAGTTGTATATATACAATCCAATTAGTCAAAACTTTCTAGTCTAACAGGTCTCTGTCGCTAACAGTCCTCTCTGTGATACAATTGGATTTCTAATCCGTCTCGGATTGACTAAACAAAGAGTTTTATTTTTTTTTAGCTGAATGACATCGTTTTAAGTTGACTTCTCCAGTTGATATACGATAACATCAGCCTGGGGTTTGATTTTCTCTGCAGATTTTTGAGCTGTGTTAGTTTTTGAAAGGGTATACGAGTTTGTGGAGTTGAGGATTGAGAAACAAGATTAGGAACAATGGCGGGTGGCTTTGCTGAAGACGGAAGGAATTTGAAGAGAGCTCATCTTTATGAGTCAAGAATCACTGGTTATTTCATCTTCGCTTGCATTGTGGGTTCAATGGGAGGATCCCTCTTTGGCTATGATCTTGGTGTTTCTGGTTAGTTTGTCTTTCGTTCAATCTACCGTAAATCTCATTCCCTTGTATTCTCCATCCCAAGTGGTCTGTTCTAGTGTTTTGAAAACCGATTATATCTGAATCGAATTTTCTACAATTTGGGTTTTCATGTTTATGTAATATTGAATTCAGGTGGTGTGACTTCCATGGATGACTTCTTGAAGGAATTTTTCCCAAAGGTGTTCAGAAGAAAGCAAGCGCATCTTCATGAGACAGATTACTGTAAATACGACAATCAGATTCTGACCCTATTTACTTCGTCGCTCTACTTTGCTGGTCTTATTTCGACGTTCGCAGCGTCCTATGTGACCAGAAGCAAAGGTAGGAGGGGAAGTATACTTGTAGGATCTATCAGTTTCTTTCTTGGGGCAATTCTAAACGCCGCCGCTGTGAACGTCTTTATGCTCATTGTTGGACGTATCTTTCTGGGTATCGGTATTGGATTTGGTAACCAGGTAAAGCCATGATCTTTTTGTTTTTTTATCAAAAAGCCCAAAAATAAAAAATAAGGAATTTATAAAAAGAGGGAATCTTTTTCAATTATTTGCAGGCAGTTCCTTTGTATCTGTCAGAGATGGCACCTGCAAAAGTCAGAGGAGCAGTGAACCAACTGTTTCAATTGACAACTTGTTTGGGAATTCTGGTTGCAAACATTATAAACTATTTTACAGAGCAGATTCATCCATGGGGATGGAGACTCTCTCTTGGTTTGGCTACTGTTCCTGCAACTCTCATGTTCATTGGTGGCTTAATCCTTCCTGAGACTCCTAACAGTCTTGTAGAAAGAGATAGATTAGAGGAAGCAAAGAGGATATTGATCAAGGTTAGAGGAACCACTAACATTGATGCTGAGTTTACTGATCTCATTGAAGCAAGCAATGCAGCGAAAGCTGTTAAGCATCCTTTTAGGAATCTTTTGGCCAGGAGAAATCGACCCCAGTTGGTTCTTGGAGCCCTCGGAATCCCAGCATTCCAGCAACTCACTGGAAATAATTCAATCCTTTTCTATGCTCCAGTGATGTTTCAAACCTTGGGTTTCGGTTCAAATGCATCTCTTTTCTCTACACTCATAACTGGTGTGGCCCTTGTTGTTGCTGCCTTGATTTCAATGGCTTTGGTAGACAAGTTTGGTCGAAGATTTTTCTTTTTGGAAGCTGGTGCTGAGATGTTTATTTACATGGTAAATATTTAAACTAAATCAAACTCCAAATAATATCTGTATTCAAATATTACAAGCATCTCTTATCGATTTCTTCTTTGATGTTGTTATATATGTTTGACAGATCACAGTAGCAATCTCTCTGGCTATCAGCTTTGGAGATGGAAAGGAGCTTCCTAAAGGGCTTGGGACTTTCCTCGTGATCATCATCTGCTTGTTTGTGTTGGCTTATGGTAGGTCATGGGGTCCTCTAGGATGGCTTGTCCCTAGTGAGCTTTTCCCCTTGGAGACAAGGTCAGCTGGACAGAGTATGGTGGTCTGCGTCAACCTCATTTTCACAGCCCTAATTGCTCAGTTGTTCCTAGTCTCGCTCTGTCACCTCAAGTTCGGAATCTTCTTGCTCTTTGCCACCTTGATTCTCATCATGAGCAGCTTCATCTACTTCCTCTTGCCAGAAACAAAGCAAGTCCCTATCGAGGAAGTGTATCTTCTCTTCCAAAGTCACTGGTTCTGGAAGCGCATTGTGGGAGAAGAAACACATGATGCAGCAACCCAAATGGCTCAAAAGGGGGAATCGACGGTTTAGACGCACAAGAACAAGAAACAAGGTTTTAACCATTAGAATAAAGAATGAGAAGCGAGGACCATAATTTTTTAGGCAAACCCAGCTGAATTTATTTCCTCTTTTTATTTTTACTACATCAAATGTATTTATTTCTGCTACTCTTGAGCTTTTAATGCATTGAATTACTCAACCATCTCAGTTTGGGGAATACAGCAGCCATAATTCTTAAGAAAAAAAGAAAGTAAAAACATGAAAAATAAAGTGAAAGGAATTCTCCATGTGTATGAATGAATGAGCTTCGGTACAATCTAAAAAAGTAATTCATGTTATAATAATCTGACAGATAATATATAAAAGAGGGACTTCCTTGTGGTGCATCTATTCTTACGCTAGTAGTTTAGCCAGTTCATCTATTCTTAGGCTTCCTTGTGGTGCTACATCTAGAAAATTCTCATCTAAAGAATTTGTCCTTTTTGCTTTTGAAGCCCGTTTCTCCTTTCCTCTCTTCTTGGCAATAGATTCATCATCTTTAACTTGAGAATTCTTGTATTCCTGCTTTTTCTCACTGTTTTGAATCTGTGACTTCCTCTGATAATGCCGAAAAACCAGCCCACAAGGAGCCGACTTGGCAAAGGTGACAGCCTTTTCAAATACCCGGTCTGCATCCAATATAGCATCATCTAAAACAACTGCATGCCCAGTCTCAACAGCTTGCTTCATGAGAAGTTTCACTCTTTCCATGCAAGGTGCATCTGCTCTTGCTGGCTCAGACTGAATTTCCATGGAATTTGAAAGATGTTGTGGCTGACACTGATCTATAGGGCTCTTAGTGAAAAACTCCAACTTATTTTCAGTGCCCTCAAGGCTTATGATGGTCCCAGACCGAGTTGAGCCTGCTTTTGGCCCTGCACCAGCATAGTGCTGATTGTCTAACATTGCTTCACCCACATTAGAAATGTCCAAAGATTCAGACTGATCAGAAAGTTTAGCAACATTAGACGTGACTTCATTTTCACTGATAATCCCCACTGCTTGTGAAACATCACTGCTGCTGCTTCCATTTTCTGCTGTAGTGTCATCAGCTTGTGACTCAACCGAAACCGCATCACTCCCTCCACACAGCCCGTCTATGGATGAGGGACAATCACCTTGTTCTACATGCTCATCCATGAGACTCATAAGGGACATGCTGGTACTGAGTGCGTCTCGAGTCCTATTCTCAGCTGACGGCATATCGTTGTCAGATATTAATACTCTGTTATCTCCCAAAGGTGGAGCAGTGGTTATTGTGCTATTAATTTTGTATTCCTTGATGTCCTTATCCCCTTTTTCTGGCATTGGGATAGGGGACTTCCAATTCGGTGGCCCTCTCCACATTAGTATGTGCTCATTTTCAAATGATATCAGCATGCATGGGACGAGATCCTGAAGTTAAAGAGTTAGCTTTTCTACTTGCCGGGATGAAAAAAAAAAAAACTGACTCAAGAACAAACACATAAGAAACAGAAAAAATTTTACAAACCTTGAGTTTACCACCAATTTTCTTATAGTCACTCCCTTTGATCCCTTGACAGTTAATACGAACTAATTCACATACTTCAAATGCCTCTCTGACATTTTTCACCAGGTCACTGTAAACACCATTCTTTGCTGCAATCCAATAGAAGTATTACTTAAGAATGGCTTCTGGAAACCTGGAATGAGTCTTTCTGGTTTTCACTCAAAACAAGAATTTGAGAGAATAGCTACAAAAGCTACCTAATTTGCATATTGGTACCAATTGCCGTCCCTTCCTGCGCATTTCAATTGCTTCTTCCAGTGTTAGACCATCCGGAACCTGCTGAATCAGTCTTGGATATACAGGGGTAACAGGTTTCCACAACATAAGGGGAAACCGAGGGTGAGTTTTATAGTTGTAATTTCTGCCTCGGAAAAGGAAAAGTACCCCTCCTCTTCTGTAGATGACCTTTCCTCCTGTTTTATCCTGTCAATTCATGAATTTTGAGACTGCCAAAATATACATACAAGGATAAATAAAAATCAGCATCACCTATTACTATCAATCTACATCATCTTAAATCAGTTGTGCACTCTCTCACTTTGTTGTCACAATAATGCATTCCAGCAAATATGTGAAAACATGAAAATGAGATGTCAAAGCTAGTAAGTCACTCTTAAGTAATCTCCGAACTTGCTAAAGGTGCGTGGAGCAAAAAATTGGTGATTATTCAAAAACACTCCAGAAACATCCACCCTATCAGGGAAAAAAATAAAGCAATGGAGCAGTACTAAAAGCTTAGAATGTGTATCGGATGGAGTAACCAACCTCTAATTGCTGGCACACAGTGTCCATGTCAACTGTACACACTCCTTTACATTTTATCTTGCACACTCTCCGTCGCTTCCAGTGAGCATGTATATTATCCAACATGTTGTGCGTTAAACCATCTCTACCTGATAAAAGCAAAGAAGATAATAAGTTTCATCTTTCATCCTCTCCTCTCCTCAACCCTAATAAAAGGAGTACTATTTCCACTTTCTACTATCTTTAATTCTATTATTTTCACTTGCCAAAGGTTCATCATGCAGTCCCATGTTACACACTAGCTTTGGATGGACTTGCAGCAAGATATGCTTAAAAAAGCAGCAATAGAACTTTTGTTGACACTGAATCCTTGAACTTAGGCAAACAAATGCTTAAAAAATAGAACATAAAGACATTTGATTAAACCAACAGTGAAGAGATATTGATAGCACTATAATAGAACTGAGGCAAACCCATATCAGACCGTCATTTCAATACCATAAGAAAATCAAGAAAGAACTGCTCATCAACTTATCAGAAGAAGCACATACCCACATTCAGTTACTCTTCAATTCCCAACAAAATCAACAAGCACAATCAATTAGCAAAGTGTGAATCGATGGTATGAAAATCTAGTCAAAACCAAATAAATAAAGCAAAGATAGAATCCAAAAATGTAATACCCATATTCAACTGCCGCCTGGACCTGATGCAACTATTGACCAAGTCCCTAACCTCTTCGTCAGTGAGGGGCTCCCCCAAAATCTCCTCCCTGATGGAGACATACCTCGGACCAGTCCCAGGGAGGAAAGGACCCGGCTTCTGCACGGGCTTCACCCCTTTCTTGTTGGGCGGAGGAAGTTCGAAGGAGTCGAACTCCTTGAGCTTTTTCTTGGACGGGGGCAGCGGAGCTCGACCGGTCCAGGGCCTACCCATAGTGGTAGGACCGAACGGTGCGAATGGAGGCTCCCTGAGCTTAAGCGGCTTCACCTTCGGCGTCTCCGTATAGCTGTACTTGAACTCGAACGGCGCCCCATCGATGACATAAGAGACCCCATCTTCACTAATCTTCAAATTGGCTTTTGAGTGAATTGGCGCTTTCTTGGGGACTTGTGGTGCGTTCTTCACTTTGGATAATCGGCGAAACGCAGGGTGGTCGGGGGGTTTGGAGTACTTTGACTTCTTGCCAGGGATTGAAGGGGCGGAGGGGATGGACGGCGTGCCTCTGGATTTGAATGTTTCAGGCTCTTTGCCGGCGGTTATGGTTGAATCGCAAATTTGGGAAATTCTGGTGGTGGATTCAAAGCGTCGCAGCCGACGGATGTCGTCCTCAATTTCCTGCTGTGCGCGCTGCCGCTGGTTGAAGATTTCCGCATTGGCGTTATTCCACCGCGAGAACCGGATCTGGGTGGGAGGCCGCGGGTTGGGTGGGACCGTATACGGGCATGGATAGGGGTTTTGAACTTGCGCTTGGGGGGCGAAAATTGGGAACGGGATGTATAATTTTAGCGCCATGAATTGGAAATTGAATTTTTTAAGCTTTTCAAAGGAAAATTTGCAGAAGCGAGGAGATGAAAAAGAGAAACATGAGCGTATCAAACGATGCCGTAAAGAGAGTTATCTACTTATCTTGCAAGGTTTCTCAACTGCTCAAAGTAAGTGGAAGAAGCCCTTTCTCGGATTACAGAGAACAACCGAGTTTATGGAGCTGCGGGAACAGGAAGACGAAGAAGACGACGTCGTTTCAATTACGAATTACAGTGGTCTAACGTAATATTATGAAAGCTAAAGGGTATTTCGTAAATAATGTCTTTGTCTTGTATGTATAGCCATTAATGGATGGAGTAGGTAACAAAATTCCATGAGTCACAATGCATAGGAACCCAGAAACTGAGTGTGACCAAAAAGCTTGAAATGCATCTCCGAGGAGCTT